GAAGGACAGATCCTGAAGCTGAGGCTCCAGTACTTTGGCCATCTCATGAGAAGAAAAGAGTCCTTGGAAAAAACCTTGATGTTAGGAAGGTGTGATGGCAAGAGGAGAAGGGGACGACCGAGGATGAGATGGCTGGACAGTGTCTGCAAAGCAACCAACATGAACCTGACACAACTCCGGGAGGCAGTAGAAGACAGGAGGGCCTGGCGTGCTCTGGTCCATGGGGTCACGAAGAGTCGGACACGACTAAACGACTAAACACACACACATGCAGTTTTTTTTAAAGCATCGGACTTTCTTTTCACTTCCAGGCGCATCCACAGCTGAGCGTCCTTTTGGCTTTGGCCCAACCACTTCATTAGCTCTGGAGCTACTTGCACTTGTCCTCTGCTCTTCCTCAGTAGCATGTTGGACGTCTGCCGACCTGAGGGGCTCATCTTCCAGCGTCATACCTTTTAGCCTTTTGTTTCTGTTCATAGGGTATTCTTGGTAAAGATATTGGAGTGGATTGCCAGTTCCTGCTCCAGGTGGATCACATTTATTCAGAACTCTCCACTATGACCTGTCCATCTTGGGTGGTCCTGCACGTCATAGCCCACAGCGTCTCTGAATTATTCAAGCCCCTTCACCATGACAAGGCAGCAATCCATGAAGGGGACATTCTACAGAGGTATCAGTATACTAGCCAGCCTGCAACACATGCAGGTCAAAAGTTACCTGTGAATATCACATGTAACTCCCCTTGATTCAATGGTTGGGTTTAGCACCTCTGTTTAGACCATACTTCCCAGTTTATATATACTATGGATATTTTTTTAAATAAAATTCTTTCTATTCCCTACCCCCCCCCATCCCGAGCCCCAGCATAGAAGTAATGGAACCAGCATATCTGATACTTTTTCTGGTGTAGCAGTGCCACAGCTATACTCTGTAGACCAGGGTGGGCAAATTGGGGCCTGTGAGCTGAATGTGGCCCCAGAGGCCAAGAGCATTTACCTGGAACCTCTGCCCTTACTCTCAAATTTTGTTTTTAGGTTTTGTTTTTGTTTTTATTGTGTAGGGGTCTTCAGAGAGAAAAAGTCCCATATTTGGAAGAAAAATAATAGGGTGGGTGTGTATGATCTTCAGAAATCTGGAGGTTGCCCAACTCACCCACAACTAGCTAGATAATGTCAGCCAATGGATTTCAAATATATTATGGATCATCCTTGTAGTGATGTGCTTTCATTTCATCTGATATGGGAAATTCAGGGAACTTTTCTCTCCTTATCATTTCCTGTGATAGTATTAACATGGCACTGTATTAACACTTCTTTAGAGGAATTGGTGCCTATGTGTTGTTTTTCTGTATGCTTTTATACCGCAGGTAACATCCCCCCTCCCAAGCAAAGAAGGCACATCTCCTTCGTAGCTAATTCCCATTTCTCTCAATCCCTTTAAACCACTTTTAGGAACTGGCCATAACAATTTAAAAGAACATGAAAAGAGGATTCAAACTCAGAAGCAAAAGACCCTGATGTCTCCAATTCTCCTTCCTGATGTTCTTTTTTCAAATGGCAAAGTGAAAATTCCCTTGCAGAAATTAGAAGGCTCTGGGACAACCAAAATGCTCATTCAGGTGCTCATCTGAATGTTTCCAAACAGAACCGCTTTCAGCTGAATACACACATGGCTACATGTCTGAATGGAGAACCCCATCCATATCTGGAGGATAGGCTAAAACGGACTGTTGCAAGGATGCACTGACCTCTTGCAGATAACATGGAAACCAGCAGCTGTTACATCTTAAAGGTCTATTCACAGTGATCACCTCTCGACCGGTGTTATCCGTAATCCTCATGGTGAAAGCCCGTAACGGTGAACAGAAATTACGATCAAAGAAGCCATTTTCCTCCACAGCAAAGTAAACTCTTTGTCCCATGTGGTTTTTTATCTCATACTTGCTGCAGGTTTCAGTCCCAAGAATAACTAAACAGAGTCAGAAATGTTGATCTTTGTTGAGTGAAAGTCTAATTGCTTAGGAATTTATTCAGTGACCATTCAGATACATTCAGCCGCCTAGAGTGGTCGAGATGACCAGATAGGCGGGGTATAAACTGAATGAATGAATGAATGAATGAATGAATGAATGAATTCAATGATCAAGGGGCTAGAAACCAAGCCCTCTGAGGAAAGACTGAAAGATTTGGGCACATTTAGCCTTGAGAAAAGAAGACTGAGGAGAGATATGAGAGTGCTCTTCAAATACTTGAAAGGAGGGGTAAGATCTGTTCTCAATTATTCCCAAGTGCAGGACATGTAATAATGTGCTCAAGTTATAGGAAGCCAGATTTTGATTGAATATCAGGAGAAATCTTTTAGCTGTTAAAATGGTATGACAATGGAACCAATTGCCTCAGGAGCCGATGAGCTCTCCAACACTGGAGGCATTCAAGAGAAAGCTAGACAGCCATCTGTCACATACATGCTACCATGGATTTTTGCATTGAGCAGGAGATCAGAATCAATGGACTTATAGGTCTTCTCCATGTCCATTGTTCTATGATTCCATGATTGATTCAGTGCTACATTTGGATTTAGACCTAAGGCCACTCCTTTGTGAGTAAAATGTTTAAACCATTTAAATTGCAATTATGTATAGCTTTTTATGGAAGAAAGTCCCACTGAACAAAGCAGGACTTTACTTCTAAGTGAACATCTAGAGACCCATACCATAAATAATCATATTAATATATATTTGAGACACAATCTAATTGTGTTGGAGAACATCCAATTTCTTTTGATTTCAGTGAGAGAGCCATGCCTGTGGTTATATTTTTTTGTCATTGAAATAGTAATTTTGGTGTGCTGGTTCCATGATTTTCCATTTTTGGATCACAACAGCTTCAATACATTTAAGATATGCATGCTTTAGGGATTAAGTAGAGCATAAGCTTATCTAGTCTGTGGATCCCAAACTGATGGCATGGGAACATTACTTTCAGTGGACATGCTGACTATGAGATTCTGGTGTTTCCAGACGAAAAAGAGGGAGTAACTCTCTAAGTTCTGGGATCTGAATCAGCTAAATACTCTTGTCTCAAAAAGTGTCATGAAATAAGTTTTAAATTAAGTATTTTAACTATGATTGCATGCATATATTAACAGACTCATGTAGATTAATAGAAAAGTGGGATATGTGATTGATGAAGTAGAAAGAGATGTACTCCTAATTTAATAGCTATGGTCCTATGTGTAATACCTTGGAGAAGCTCCACTTGCTGGTGAATAATTATCTGGTCCAACTGTTCAGAAATGAAAATAAATAAGAAAACATGAGAATAAAGGAAAATTGTAAATATTTGGAGATTTTCATTTTGACAAGTATTTAATACTAATAAACAAGACTGCAGTGCATATTATAAAAGTATGCAGAAATATTACCTTTTTTGGATTAAAACTCCTAGCCAGCATGATGAATGCCCTTGCTGTATAAATGACTCTGGAAGCTGTAATAACTTTGGGGAAGTACAGTACAGTAGAGTATAGTATAGTAGTCCAGTCTCCCTTGTGTGGCAAGACACATTCACTTAAGGCAATGAGATGGAAGTGATTGTAGGATGCTCATATATTTTGCTGAAGCGTATGCAGCTTGTTCTGGGGAGTTCTCTGCCTGAAAAATGCAGTGTTTAAGCATGTGGAAGGAATCTACCATGTCTACTGCTTTAGTGCTAAATGTTGACATTCAGGCATACCTTATGGCATGATAAGTCTTGAAGCACAATCTATACAGTAAGGGCAGTTGGGCTGATTCATGTCAACACATGTATTCTCACAGTTTATCTTGGAGAATTTAGTAAATTTCCCTTTATTTAGCAGACTAAGGAATGTGGTGAGATCAGCCCTGTTTCACCACCACCACTCATCTCATAGTGACTAGAACTTTATGTGTTAAAAATCACTCTAGAAGCAGTTAAACTAGAAGTTAAGATACCTTAACTTACAGTTTCTGTCTATAGTTATAATTAGAAGGATTAAAAAAAAACAAGGGGAGGTTAGTCTCAACCATGTGAGAGACAGATCCTCCATACTGGGTGCATGGTTAGAGATCAGGAGCAGAGAGATACTAACAGAAAAAAATGAAGCAAACAAAACAGGAAGGGGGGGCAAGCCAGATGCAGGGGGGGAAAAAGAACTTTAGCAATAGATTAGTGGAAAGATAAAAGAATCCCTTTAGTTCTTAAAAGCCTTCCTCCTACTGATAGCCAGTGTTACACACCACCACCACTCATCTCATAGTGACTAGAACTTTATGTGTTAAAAATCACTCTAGAAGCAGTTAAACTAGAAGTTAAGATACCTTAACTTATAGTTTCTGTCTATAGTTATAATTAGAAGGATTAAAAAAGAAAAAAAACAAGGGGAGGTTAGTCTCAACCATGTGAGAGACAGATCCTCCATACTGGGTGCATGGTTAGAGATCAGGAGCAGAGAGATACTAACAGAAAAAAATGAAGCAAACAAAACAGGAAGGGGGGGCAAGCCAGATGCAGGGGGGAAAAAAAGAACTTTAGCAATTGAATAGTGGAAAGATAAAAGAATCCCTTTAGTTCTTAAAAGCCTTCCTCCCACTGATACCCAGTGTTACAAAGCATATAAGATTGTTATTATCTCAACAGTTTTCACCTCCACTACCAGCAGGCATATTGTACAGTTTTAGCTGCCCACACAAGACCTCCTTATAGTGCAAGATTGGTGAGCAAGGACATAGTATTGATTCAGACCTGATGCATCAGCAGCATCCATTCTGTTCACATGCTAGCAGAATTGAGAACGATTTCAAGCACCATGATGGGCATGTTGTGGGCACACTACAAGGTGCAGTGCTGTGCATAGAGGGGTATCTCTAAAACCACTACCTAATAGAATACATTTTTCCCTTCAGATGCTAGCAAAATTCAATCCTGAGCAAGCAAGTAATACACCTTCAACAGAGTACAAGATATAGTACAGGTGCCTTAAAAGAAGTTAAAAAGCATGAGTAGGGAAGGAATTGGACAGTCTAATGTAGAGGAAGTCTGTTATAGGTGAAACCTCTCCACATGATCAGGAACTCTGATTTTTCAGAATCCTTAACTGGATGGGGAAACTGTATATAACAGAAGCTCTCAGCTTCTGGCACTTCCTCTTCATGAGGAGACAGGAGTGGGGTGTGGTTGGAATGTTCTCCCTCTACAAGCTTCAGATTGCTCCCCTCACCCCTGTTTTTGGCTTTTTAAAAAAAAATTGGTTAATAAGGCTTTAGTTTTCCTTCATTCATATCAGAAAGAAATCACCACTGTGAAAACCTGCTTTATAGAAGACCAGGAGTGTTACTATAGGTACTTAAGGAGCCCCTAACCGAGTCAACATAGAAAGACTAAGGATGTGATCATTCATTCATTCATTCATTCATACATACATACATACATACATACATACATACACACACACACGTACATACATACATACATACATACATACATACATACATACATACATACATACATACATACATACATACATACATACATACATACATACATACATACATACATACATTACATACAATCTTCTTCCCAGGCTTCATCGCTGTGGGTGGCCACCCTGAGGGATGCTGAGAAAACTACAGCTAGAAACTGGGTCTTCTTGGTGGTGGCTGCAATGCTTTGAAATGCTTTGCCTGTGGACGTACATCAGGTTCCTTCCCTCCTAACCTTCAGGGAACTTGTTAAAACTGAGGTTTTTTTTTTAAAGGACTATAAGGGCACCTTCGCTCTGGTGTAGATTTCTTGACCCATCATGTTTAAACTTCAAATGTGTTTAGTTGTTGCCATTGTGGGTTTTTTTCTCTGTTGGAATCATACGTTTGCTTTTGGCTGGGGGGTGGGGAAACCGGGAGTTCTTTTACTTGTTATGACCCACCCAGAACAATGGCTTGCCATGAGATGCGCAGTAAATAAACAAACACACACATACATAGCAACTTGGATGCTTGTGCAGTGGTCCAGCGCAATCTATTTCCTGGTAAATCACATGGCGTACAGGGAAATAAGACCCACCCTGACTGTGATTCATGCCCAAACTGGACCTTCTTGAGCCAGCTGTAGGGCTTCTCCTGTTTCAAGCTGGGCAGGAGGGAATCCAAGCAGATGGAAGGGTTATTTCAAGGGAGATCATTCCCATTAAAGTGACCCTTTCTAGGCAAGGGGCGGGCATAGTTGCCAGCTGAGCAGGGAGACAGCAGAGGTACTGCCACAGTTGGCAGGAAGAGTGGGACCTTTGCAGCACCGGGAAGAGTGAGTGGACGGGCCACTTCCAGGGGCCAGACCCTCATTAGGTGCAGCTGGGAGGAGGTATTTGCATTCATTTACAAAGATGAACATCCCCATCTCTATTCAGATATACTAAATTGTAGCTCACACAGGGAATCTGATGTGTGCCCATTTTTGCAGAAATACATAAGGAGACCATACATCAGAATCAGAAACGTGATTATAAAAGAACAGATATTTTCCATCAGTTGTGCCATTGATGGAAGTTTGTGTCTTTGATTGTCTGGAAGTTTCTTGCCCGTTTCAAGATGCAGAAAAAGCAAGGGTAAAATTGGGGCGAATTCCAAGCAGAATGCTAAGAAGAAGGGAAAAACAAGAAAATGCTTGCTTTCTGAAGCAGCTTTGCCCTTGTTGTTCACAAAGTTTTCTATTATGTTATATTTTGGATGCATTTTGATCAGATGTGGTATCTGTAGCCAAGAAACTTTAGATCTTAATACAGTAATAGTGAGACATGAGTTCTGAGGCTCCATAATTTAGATTTGATTTCACCGGAGTTCGGACCAGCTATAAATCAAAAGTTCTATCTTTTAAGAGAAACCTCAAAGCTGGCTTCTTTCATTCTGTAAACCAGAGCCTGGAGCAGAGTGTCTGATAGAAATAATCAGATCCTTTGCAGGAAAACTGAGGTGACAGCAAAATACCTAAGAACAGTAATTCTGAAAGCTTTGCTCAGACATGATGCAAGTGCATGAGTGGGGGGAGTTGTGATGTTTCATTTGTGTGTATGAGGAAAGGGCACAACACTCTACAACATGGTCATGGCCAGATGAGTCCTTTAGCTATGTCAAATTTAATAGACACTATAATCATTCCCAAAATTCATATTTTTATAATAGCATGTGCAATTTTAGAGGCCCTGCATGGTGTAGTGGAGAAAGTGTCAAACCAGGACTTAAGGGGCACAAATCCCCAGCAAGCTGTGGAAATTCACGGATGTTGGTGGAACTGGTAAAAACTCTCCTTAAATATCTCACCTACCTTGAAACCCTGCTGGGGTTGCCACAAAGCAGGTGCGGATAAACAAAACAAGAACAAGCTGTGGTTTACTTAGCTTGTGCATAAATTCAGCGGTAGCCACATTTGCTAGGGAATTCTGGGAAATGTAGTTAAAAAGGAGGAACGCTTACCAAGCTCTGAACACCACATGGAGGGGTTAGTTGGACTACACTTGCCCCTCTTGGACTTTTCACTCTAAAGGGACAGGGTTTTTTTTTGGGGGGGGAGGAGGGAATGGTGAACAAACCAGAATCTGGAACTCAGTAATCTTGAAAGAATGTGGATGATCTTACCAAGAAGGAAAAAAGAGATAAACTGAGAAAAATCCAAACAAAACAAAATGGTGGTTCCATTTTACAGAATCCCAGAAGCATGGCAAGCTATTTGGTTTAGTAGGTAATGCATTTAGACAGGGTTTTTTTAAACATACTTAATATCATTTGAAGGTAAGTGATTTGAAAAGATTATTTTGGAAAAACCTGTCTTAAGTATTCCAGTCCAGGGGGCAAACTGGAAGGAGGGTGGGCTTGTTTCCAGGCAGTGGTAGTCTCTGAGGATTTTGATTGATCCAGAGGCTCCGGAGAACCAGGAAGAAGATCTTGTACAGTTTTTTGAATTTGGCTTGGAGCATCTGCATGAAAGAGAGTTAATAAATTGGTCATGAGAACAGGTGTCAAATATCCCTGCCTTCTTTCAGGTTGCAGCATTCCAATCCTTCTCAATGTATTTCCCCACATCCATCAGGATTCTGTGCCCATGAAACAAGCTTGTTATGTTTTAGGTTTGCTTGTTGTTTTCTTTAAAGATTCCCGGTACTTTTGCAAACCTTTTGGTTCATTGGCAAGCAAGATCAGATAACTTCTTTTTTAAAGTGATAATGGTATCATTTTACCTACACAAAGAATTGCACTTGGGGTGCTGAGAATGCTAATATCTTAAAATGGAGTTGTGCAATAAAAACTTGCCGTGTAGAGGGTTCCTGTTCAGGTATCCTGCTACCCCATTTCATCCCCTCCCCAACCCAGTTTTCATCTCCTGTAGCAGTCAATCCTCATTCCATATGCCCAGTCCTCACTGAGTTTGGATTTTAGTGGGCTTGGAGTAGACACTTCTGCTTACAGCTACATCAACATTTTTGATGCCTCGGTTTATGTTTATGAGCAGTGGATACCTGCATCCCTGTAGCATTTTACAGAATTTTTCTGGAGGAAATAGGAAACAGCACTCACACCATGTTTTTTTAATGCCATGTATTTTTTCCTTCCCTGCTCATTTTCCTAGCTGTTTCATTTCATTCTCTCGCTCCTGAGATCAAACTCAACATTGTGTATAACCTACAGGCTAACTCTCTTTCCTTTCCAGATCCGAGGTTCCTCAAAGATATGTGCCTTATCAGTTAGACTGCTAGTTCAGTCCATGCTTATATTTCAACAGCCAATCAGAAAATAAAACATACCAACTCTCAGATGTGTAGGTGAGGTGAATCAAGTGCTACAACAATCAAATGTCTTTCACCTCTTGGAGAAGCACTTTTGCAAATACAGTATCATTATAAGCTTCAGGGTTATCAACATGGCTTGATCCCACTTTGATTTCCCATTTCACAAATCAGCATTCTGCACTAGAGATGGGGGCTTCATATTCATATCCCTGGGGATGGAGGTCTCTTCCCTCCCCCCAGAACTAGCCTGCTACACTCACCAGGCTCAGTGTGGCACACACATCCATTGCCAGTGACATTGTGCCCATCATGGAAGCAATCCAGCTGGCTCTTCTCTGTCTCCCCGCACAACCAACCGTTCTGGCGGGAAGATGAATCTCCCCTCTCAGCTCTTTAGCAGTCAGATGTGTGTGGAGAGGAGAGGAAGATACCCTGCATGGTGGACTGAGTCCTGTTGCCGTCATCCATGGTGAGAGGCTGCATCTGATATCTTGGACTTTGACATTGTGTTTCTGTCCCTATCATATGGAATTTTTTTTCTGTAAACTTGCTTTGGTTATTTACAACCTCAGGTTCATCCTGAGTCTGCTCATTCTGCTCCATCAGGTGGTAAAGTGCTAGGAGTGGCATCTTCCACCCTCCTCTTCCTGAGCTGGTCACTACTGGTTTCTTTCTCTGGCCACAGCTGCCTTCCCTCTCCACCACTACAGCCATTTCTTAGCTTCCTGTGTGTATCATGACTGACCATGAGAGTCTTCAATGCCAAGGGAATGTGGCCCCAAACATCCCCTGTGTAAGCAGGCTGTAGAGGCAGGTAGGAGAAGGAAGAAAGGAACTTCCACCCTTAACCTTGCCATTGTTAACATGTATGGCATCAGGGCAGTGAGTGGTAGTAGAAAGTTTTGCACATATACTGTAGGAAAACTAGCATTATTGAAAATGCTGTTGGACTTTTGGGTGATTCTTTTGTGAAACACTGAGTCCTAGTTTCAACAGGTCTGTCCCATACTAGGAAGACAAGAGGACAAGAAGAAAACCAAGTAGGGTAAATTGTAAGAGGCAAATCTCAGTAAATATTAGCAGAAATATCCTCCTAATGATAAAGTTGTTTGACAGTGGAGCAAACTCCATCAGGAGGAGATACACAGCTCACCTCCACTGAATAGTGGGTCAGCTTGCACTAGTAGTTTTTAGCCTTGGGTAACCCAGGTGAACTTGAACGACAACTTCCAGAAACCCCGCCAGCAGAACTTGTGGTGAAGGCTTCTGAAGGGAACCACTGGCCTACATGATCTTCAATACCCCTTACATATCTCTGGTGGTATTTTATTTCTTTATTTAATACTGCATTGGGTGTGTTTCTGTGAATCACACTGGGAGTCTCTTGTAATATAATCTTCCATTTCTTAAAAGAGCAAGCAACATTAATCTCAGCAATGCTTTGTGACAGGGCTGTGACATGTACTTGGGAATCTTGTTTTTCTGCTATTTTCCAGGTCTCGACATCCTGTGACTCTTCACCAGTACATTGTCCTGTACTTGTAAGATTTTTGTAATCTGCCCCCAAAATAAGATCCTTGTAGCGATCACCCCTGGAATGAATATTCAGCAGTGTATCTGCATGTACCAATGAGAGTTGTTGGGAGATGGAGCCAGAGAAATTAGAAGGGAGGGATGAGTCAGAGTCTAGGGAGTTCAGTCAGAGACAGAGTTTTGAGAAAGAGTTTGGGGTTTGAGGCAGAGAGAGAGTGTGTTAAAGGGGTGATTAGTGAGAGTGTGACCTGTTTTAATTAAGATAGAAGAGGTTAAAGTAAAATACTGAAGCTTTGTGTAACTTTAAGAATGTGCTTAAGAACTATTCCTAAGACAACTTGTAATCAATAAACCTGTTTCTGGTTAAAAGTTCAGTAATGAATGGACCTCAGTCTTTCATAGGAAATACGTTGATAAAGAGATCAACTGGTGGCAGCGTGTTAAAGGGCATGTTGGGATACCTTTGTGAGCTCTGGGTTTGGTGAAGCAAACAGGGGCCATGAGGTAAATGCCACAATCCCACTTAATTTCTTTGCCCAACAAACTGCCCAGTTCAATGCCCTTTCTATAGAGTCATGCACAGGAAAGAGGCCATTTTGCACAGGAATTACAATGGTTCTGTATAACTCAATGCCTGTTTTGGGGGATCTTGAGCAAGAAGGATGCTATCATGTACAACAGTTGTAACAATTCTATACACTTTGGTTCCTCCAGACCTGGGGAAATCCAAAGAGATCTGGGGGAGGGGGGGGAGACCACAAAGAAATCCTGTAAGATTTTCAGATGTTTTCTTGGGTGTGTGTGGAAACTGTGCAGCAATATCTCTCTGTAAGGAGAAAAGAGAGATTCTCCCACTCTTCAGTTTCTTACGAAAAGGGAAAGCCTGCAAGATTCACATCCTTACAAGCATAAGCTGTGCTAGGAAGATGAACAGAGTGGTGTTTGGATGATCCTCAGTGGCATCCTCATATGAGGACTGCAGATATGGTCAAGCATATCTGGAAGACAACTGAGTATAATCATAATTCTGTAAAATTATCATCTCTGATTTCTAAGTAACAGTGCTCTCATGCCGACGTCTTCCGTTCGGTTTCAGGTTTTGCTTTGAGCACATAAATGAAGGATAATCCAATGTATAAAAACCCTAGCTGTGAATATAATCTGTAATGAAAAGAGCTTGCAAAGGTGCACTGGGAGTTCCACTGAAGGGTGATATAAATTAATTTTGAATAAATGTAAGAATTGGACAGTTTGGGACAGAGTTGCTGGAGGAGTAAGGTCTGCTGCTAAACCCAGAAATTCCTGCCAAGAGCCCCTGCAAGTGGAGGTGCACCTCCTTTCACTCCATGGCCCTCATGATGGGGCATTCCTGCAAAAATCAAATAAATAACAGCACCTGGCTTGCATAGGGCTTGCTTTCTTCCCCATCCTGTGGTCCAACGAGTTCTTAAGCTGTTCTTTCCAGCCTCTCAGCCTACAGTCAGCAAGCTTAGAAGAATGGAAAACTATCACTCTACCGCTCACAATATTCTGCATAAGCTTTAATGATCTCTGTGGTTCCCAGCCATCCATCCTGATATTGTCTCTGTGGATTATCTCCCATCTGTATTCTGTTGTGCCACAGGAAACCCAGGCAGTGAAGTTCATCCTTTCTGCCTCCTTCTTCCCTGATCATGTTATGTTTGCTCCTTTCTAGGATTTTAAAGGATCAGGTGCCCCATTTAGAGAAACTCCTGCCTGACAGTGTATCTTCGCAATGTGAGTGCTCCTTTCTGCCACTGTGCAATTCAAAAAGGCCCTTTCCCATTATTTAAGTGTGAGTGTAGCTGTTCCATCATGTAATCATATTTTGATCTTAATTTATCATTGCAACCACAGCCTTCCTTCAAAGCCTGAGTCCACGGGAAGAAGGAAGAATCCCTTTGAATTTCTATCTAGCTTTTAAAAAATGCATAACCAGATCATAAATATTTCATGTGCGCTCCTGCATCATTTTACCTCACAGAGGCCTGTTGTTGCCAAAACCTGTGTTACATGAAATACCGTGAAGTTTTATTGGCCAAGTGTTAGTGTCATTTTTTTTTGAAGGCAAGAAGAAAAGAAGGCAAATTGAAGTTTGCCCTGTCAGTCAGACTTACGCTACAGAAAAATCAAGCAGCAGGTGCACTCAATATTCATGGAAATCGAAGGCATTTCGAAGAGTGGTGTACATTGCTTTGTGTATCTGTTATGGTGGGGCATTGAGGATCCTATTTCAGTCATTTTCCACATAGTGAAAATATACCATGTCACAAATGTAGCAGATACTGATATAATGGCATGGGTTTTTGTTTGTTTGTTTGAAGAGTAAATTAGATGTGGACTTATGCTTCTTTGCATAATCATTCAGGATACTTTAAACTGAATGATTTTACTAACTATTTAAACATTATATAGAACTCTTTATCAGTTAAATATTTTGCAGTGTGCATGGTAATAATTTATCATGGATTTTGTTTGCTTGTTTTTGCTTCTTCACCACCAGGCTTTCCATTTTACAGATACTGTACAGGCACCAGTTTCTTTGAATGCATTAGGGAGGGCTTTGATGTGAGTTGCTTGGAGACCCGTATTGGTGAAAATATGACACAGAAATCCAGTTAATAAATTCATAAGAATGGCAGAAGCTTTTGTGGATGGCATTTGACAAAAAGTGCCATAGAAAAGACTGCTTTACATTAGAGAAATACATTAAAGTAGCATTTCATACATAATTCTTTTGGTGGTGGGAAATGGGGGGAAAAGCTCTGGTATGAACTTGTTGGTACTTCTAGTACTCTCATGCCGAATTGTAATGCCTGCATTATTTAAGGAAGCTAGCTGCTAAATGTGTGAAGAAAAAAAACTTCATTTTTAAGTGTAACACTTCATTGCTATTTTCTAGGAATCAGGTCTGAAAAGGTTTCTTGTTGGCTGTAGTTTTCATTTTTAAAGAGAAGATAGCTGTCTTGAACTAAAGGGAAGACATGGCACCAGTGACGTTTGGATCTGATTGAACTCAATTATCCTTCAGAAGCTTGTTAGTGGGAATTTTGTCAACCATGTCCAAAATGATCAGTACTTCCTGATGCAAGATTTCTCAATTGAAGCATTCTTGAAGGACGCAAACCTCCCTAATGGAAGTGTGACCTTTCTGTGTTCTTTATTGTTGAATAAATAATGTGTATACATGCACAGACTGAAGGCAGGTGTTGCACTATAACCAAAAACATACATCTTCAAGGAAATGTGGCTTTAAGTTTAGATATTATTCTTGACGTTTCATTGCACTCCACCTCTGTTACAATATAGTCAGAGCAGAAAATTGCCATGTCCTGGAATTGTCACTTGCCTATTTAATCAGACTGCTGATTGCTGTGTACCATTGGAGGTGGCTTTCTCCTCTCTCCCCCCACTTCTCTCTCCCTTTCTCTTTAATAAACATCCCTTTATGAGTTATACACAATCACTTACCTTGAGAGGCCATGTGGCTGCCTGAGTCACTTCTTCAAAGGAAGCCAGGTTAAAAGAAAAGGCTTTTCTTGTTGCGGCAAGGGAGGGGGGAGAAAAAAAGCACAGCATGAACAAACTTCAGAAGGTGTCTGTCTACTTCATGTCAGGTTACAAAAGAACAGCAAGGAAATGCATCACCTTTCTCATATGACGGATTGCAGCATTTTCCCAGTTTGGACGACAGGGGGAGATGACATTTGCAACCAAGTGTAAGGGAAGAACCTTTTGCTCACTTTAGAGGCCATTTGCACCTCTCAGAGGAAGTTAAATTTGCACAATCCAAATTTGTATGAAGGAGGTGGGAATTCCACCTAGTCTTTATACGGCACTACTGTCTCATCAGTAGCCCACATTGACATAGAGAAAGAAGAACGTAATCTAAGGAGACTTGCTAATGATGTCTGCCCAAGTCTAAACAACATTTACAGTGCTATATAAGGAAGAAACATGTACGTGTAATGGAAGTTTCATCCTACCATCGGCCTCCACTCGTCAAGGGTGATTACTCCTTTACAGGATGGAATTGTTTCCAGGAAATCATGCCAGGCTGGAATGCAGTATCTGCAATGGAAAAGGAATACAGATATGAATGGAGATCTTGTTTCGGAATGGAGCCTAAATAATAAAGCCAACAGTTAGTCTCAGATCTTTGAGAGACAGTAACACTGAGTTGCCACCTCTTATTTCTAACTCTAGTGACCAAGTTGCCATGGAGATTGTATCCATGTGTGACTCACATAGGCATGATTCACAACTATTAAGTGACCATAAGAAAAGCAATATAGGAAAAGGCTATGAAGCAAAACTTTGTAGACTGAAAGTTGTTTCCATTTTCTTCACAGTTCTCTCTGTTTGCTCAGCTTATATATATCTTAGGCTTCTTTTGCCCTCTCTCATAAGATAATGTGCCCTTGCTTGTGATATGACTACCTCACATGTCCATCCATGTAATTAATCTGATCAACAATCATCCTCCTCTCATTTGGGCTCATAGAAGTCCACAACATCACTGAACATGAGCTTCCATCTAGTGAAAAAAATGTGTGGAACAGCCTGCATTGAGTACATATGAAAATAAAGCATTGCAAATATTCATGGAAGACCCAGGGCCTGGATGGGCAACACACAACTCACAAGCTCCATGCTTGTACTGATATATTTCTGTGGCTTAACCCAGGGCCTGGATGAGCAACACACAACTCACATGCTTGTACTGATATATTTCTGTGGCTTCAGAGGACTTTTTCCCCACCTCCTGCCATCTAATTTGCCAGTCAGGCATCAACATTTGGCAACCTAGCTGGTGGGAAAAGGTTACATTTCTGCTTCAGAACCATGTGCATACTCCCTGTGCAACTCATTTTGAAACAAAAAAAAGCAAAAGCAAAAAGCAAAATATTCCTGCTTCCCTGCCCTTGCCATTGCACTACTAAAATTCAGCAGCAAGGTGCACATTTGGTGATGGAAAAGAAGGCACCAGGCGTTAGCGTTAAGTGTAGAAAGTAGCTCCTGCAGCTGGTCACTATAGCTGCAAGAGATTCAGACATCTCCTGCTTTATCTACTGAAATAATGCCTGAAGGGTTGCTTTGGCCAACATGAACTAACTCTGCTTTGAGCTAGGTCATAGAATGTGTCATCTGGACTGCCATCTGGATAATTTTTGAAAAAAGAGAGGAGAGTTTTGTCTTCCAAGGCTGAAAGCCAAATGGTCAGGACAGTGATGGGCAATTAAACTTCATTTGGAAGTTGCCAAGCTGGCGACAGAAAGTAAGGACCTTGATATAATCTGGTTTTTATTTGCACATTTTGTTAACCATTATTACAGAAGGTTTATGAATTTCATATTTTAAAAGGAAATACATTTCGAACAGTTTTAAGAATAATTTAGTGAATGTTGACTCTATGACTCCACCATAATTCTACCTCTTTTTGCAAGTCAGGAATATTTCGTCCAAGTGAATGCAATGCATTTGGACATGAAGGCCCCAGGCCATTTTTTCCCCAGTGAATCATGATGTCAACAACCAGAAGTAATGTACTCTGCTGGTTAGCAGATCGACTCCCGTTTTGGGCAGAAGCAGCAATAAAATTTTGAATAGGTTCAGGAAATATATGTAAGGAGAATACATTAACCAATATCCTGAGCTTAATCCTAACCCTGTTGCTAAGCCTTCTGCTACTCCTTACTACAATGGAATACAAATGTGGTTCCCCTTGATGCAAGTTCTCTCTCTTTTTTTAATCCTAGTGCATATGGTTTAATTAAAACTGAAACAGAATGTATCCTTAACACAGTGAGCTTAAAGTGTGTTGAGTAAACTGAGAGCAATGCTGTCAGGAGGAGAAACTCCCTTATGAATCTGGACTCCTACCAGGGTCAGCCAAAGCAGAATGGTCAAAGTGGGGACACCAGACTAAGATATACAGTATACACTTTCTTTATGAATAACAGACATATCAACAGAAAGGAATAGGTAGCTCCAATGGTAATGGAATTGTAATTCCTGGAGCTCTACCGCTGGAAGGCAGCAGCAGTGGAAGGTGACAAATGGCAGAGGATCTTTCACAGATAATGGCAGTGACACTCAAGCTAACTGTTGCAACTGCTGCACAGAAGAAACAATGGTGAATCACTTCTCAAAACAAATTTCTTAGCTTGAAAACCTTGTGATAGTAAAATCTAAAATGAAACCAAGGATAGTGCTGGAAGATGAGATTCCCAGCTCCGAAGGCACAGTCAGCTACTGGGGAAATGCAAAGGACAAGTGCAAATAGTGTTATTGCTGTGCATAGACACAAAAGGAAAGTCTCATAGTGCAGAACATATAAAAGCAGGACATGGATTATGAGAATTATGAATCCAAGTAAACTGGACACTGTAAAGCAAAATAGAATGTTTCGTTTAAATATACAGTAATACTTTGTATGAATGAACTAAAGTGAACAAATCCATGTCTTGCTTTTATCTGTTCTGCAGTATGAGACATTCCTTTTGTGTCTATGCACAGCAATAGCACTACTTGCATTTGTCCTTTGCATTTCCCCAGTAGCCTACTGTGCCTTCTGAGCTGGGAATCTCATCTTCCAGCACTATCCTTGGTTTCATTTTAGATTTTACTATTACAGGGTTTTCATGCTAAGATATATTCAGAAGTGATTCACCATTGAATCACTTCATACAGCTGGGGAAAGGCAGTATAAAAAAAGCAAGACCAAACACGGGATAGATTCACTTAATAATAATAAGTGAATAATAAAGGAAGCCACAGCCTTGAGCTTGCAAGAGCTGAGCAGTATTGTTAACAACAGGACATCTTGGAGGTCATTCACTCGTCAGAGGTGAATTGTCAGCACATAACAAAAGAATATGGAATACAGATTGGGAAAGGCTTCAAGTGAGTAAGGCAAGATTTTTATTCCTAATTTTCTGTCCAAATAAGGGGGGGGGGAGAGAAACATTCACATGAGTGAGACCGTCATTTGCTTCTGAACCTAATGACATGGAATTCACTCACTCTTGCTTTGATAAAGTGGTCTTATCAAGCAAGAGGTTGTATATGAACTTGCACAGACTGCACATAATAAATGCTCAGTTCAGAACCCCCTTTTTATTATGATGATTATAATTCAGAGGACATCAGTGAATTTGGTAAGCTTTGTTGCTAAGGACTTTCAGCTATCAAAACCATTCAGCGCTAACAGAGAATACTTATATCTACAGGATTTGCAGTTCAAACATGTTTTGCTAATGGAGTGATTTGCTATTGAAGTGTCAGTGTGATTTGTTATCAAGGGTGGCTAACGCTCACGGGATTGTCTGGAACCGTGCTTCCTTTCTCCCTCACTCCCTCTTCAGCAAAAACAATGTAAAAATGAATCCCAGCACAGGAGCCGGTGACAAGAATGGAGCTTTTGCATATTTTTGTAGGTTGTTTTTGTCATCGTTTCACACTGCATACAGCTTTTTCTGTGACATAATCAACTTGCCAGTGTGCTGGGCTTGATCCTGACAATGGAGTATTTCTGGAGATAAATTTTTATCGCCTTGTAAAGTTCAGCCCTTAGGAAAGTCAGGAGTGGATAAGACAGGCAAATTCACCAGACAAAGTGTCTGTCTGTGGCTTCCCACAAGTTATGTGCCTATGCCCTTTTACTTCTAACTTGTTCTTAATATGCTATGATGATTAGAAACGGGCAGAAACCTCAGTTTGGTAGTCTGTGCTCCTGCCTGAGACTGGTCAAACAGCCAAAGAGGAGGAGGAGAGAAGCGTGCACTGGCTGGTGAGTGGGTGATACAGCTGGAGAGGCACGGGAAGAAATGGTGAGGTACCTGTGGTACCATGCATACAAACTGGCATGAACCTCCAAACCATGGTTCATGTCCATCTCTAATGATGATCTTCCCCACCCTTGAAGTATGTCTGCTCACAACTCCTATCTTCCCTTGCCAGGCAGAGCCAGCTAGCATAAGCTTCACTGTGGAGAGAGGATAAGAGCTAGACTGGCACAAGAAGCAGGAAGTGGTTTCACCTGTACTGTTATTATCGTCGTCGTTGTTTAGTCGTTTAGTCGTGTCCGACTCTTTGTGACACATGGACCAGAGCACACCAGGCCCTCCTATCTTCTACTGCCTCCTGGAGTTGTGTCAGATTCATGTTGGTTGCTTCGCAGACACTGTCCAGCCATTTCATCCTCGGTCGTCCCCTTTTCCCCTTGCTATCACACTTTCCCAACATCAGGGTCTTTTCCAGGGAGTCTTTTCTTCTCATTAGATGGCCAAAGTACTGGAGCCTCAGCTTCAGGATCTGTCCTTCCAGTGAGCACTCAGGGTT